AAAAAAATGTCGGTATCTCTACTATAAGGTTGCAAGTCGAATTTTTCTTTTAGTAAAAATCAATCTAATACAGTGTTTAAGAATTAAAAAGCACAACTACTTGCTACATAATAATGTTCTCAATTTTGGAAATAGTTTTTCGTTTCTATTTTTTTTTCTACATAACACAAAAAGTTTTTCTGCAAAACTTGAGAGTTTTTAACTTTGAGATATTTTCTTGACGAAACATAGAAAAGTTAGCAGTACAGCAGTATCGACTTAGGATAGATAGGTGCAGAGTACATGTTAAAATAGTTAACAGTTAAGGTAGAAAATTCTATAAAAGCTATCTGGTGATAAAGAAAGAATCTTGTTAAATTTAGATTTTTGGGGTTCTTCTTTTCACTTTTTAAGACTTTTGTTCCAGTTAAGCGCTGCTTTTACTAGTAATCTTAAATTGAACAGATAATGCTATTAAACTTTAATGTCTAAATTTATTCTTTGGTACAAATGTACAAAACAGCTCCATATGAATCTCGCAAATTATTTTAAGTAACCACTAACCGTTATTTGGTGGTTTACTCTCTTTAAGTTCACCAGTGTATCGGTATTTACTTACTGTTATGAAAAGAAGTCTGCGCACCGCTACTCTATATTGAATGCAATGTGAAGTAGACACGTGTGCTTTGATACAGCATTTGCACTGCAACCCATATTATTAGCAATCGAAAAACATAAGTAAGCTTTAACGTTCTTTAGTTTTCCATACATTCTTGACATCTCAGCTACGTGCTCACATAAATTTCTAAAGGGCTAGAAGGTTCTAAATACTGCCTTACTTTCAATTTTTAGTAGGTGTGATATGTACAGTACTGGGTAACTTAAGATAGATTACATGAAGAGAGGTGGGGTATGACAGAAAGAAAAAAAAGAATATACAAACGACGTCAGAATAGTAGATATAAGGGTTAAAAAGTTGGAAAGGGTCACAGTGAATGCGCATAGGAGGTGGCGCATGAGTAGTGGCAGCGGTGTTAGCTAGGGATCGGAAAATTTATCAATACCACAAGACGGCCATCCGAGCAGTCGCAAGAGTGGAGCTCGTAGCTCCAATACGCCTTATCAAGCCCTATGAACTGAGCGTGAGTGATCTTTTAGCCACTATTTACTTCACAATAAAGTGTTAACATTAGTAACAAAATTAAGGAAGAGCTTGGATTCCGTACTAAATTTTGGGAGCAGCAGAGCATTCACCATGTGAGTATTGCAAACAAACATGTACATACACCTACAAATACTTTTTATATACATACGCAACCAAAAGCGTTTTGTCGATGAAAATTCTTTTTTTTCCCCACTACCATCCGACATTTTCTCTACTTGTATGATTACATTGATCGACTAGTGACGGTCTAACTTAAGAGTCAGTTCACCTGCGCACATATCAAAGAGCTTCTTGTTCGAACCTTTGTGTAGGACATCAGTAAAGCAGTTCTATAAGTAACGACCCAAAGAGATCGGATGTAAATTTTAGCTGAAAAGAGACAGGATGGTAATATTATGCACCTAAAAATAAAACGCTAATTTATGCTTTCTGACATGGACAATTGCTGTCAAAAGCCACACATTTTCTCGTGCCACGGTTTTATTGTGAGTATGAAGCTTTGGATTGATATTTACCAAAATCTCGCTGTGTGTATATACTCTTCGTAATTAATAGCGCAAACAAAGCTTTGACCACTTTTCTTTGGATTATGCAAGATACGCTTTTTTAATATACGAAACGACACAATTTTATCAGTATGAAAACTGATCTATAACTCCACCGTTGGCTTGGAATTTTTTAACTGATAACTAAGCTTTATCATTCAAATGTATCTTAGCGTAGCATTTTGTTAATGTCAACTGTCATGGCATGATGCTTAATGATAGGGACATGAGTCTGAAGTCAAAATTAATCTTGACAAAAAAAGAAAATTCATTTTGGTAACGGAAATTTCCTGTTGAGACTACGTTTTTTATTGTAAGGTTTTATGCCAAACACATGCAGTTTATGTACTTATTGACGTCATTCAGGTTTGAAATCAAGGGAAGAAAACGATTTTCTCAATTCAGTGCGAAATTTGACTGAAAAACGTGAGTGAAGGTTGTTATCTGTGGTTATTGTCAAAATAAGAGAATGTATCGTTTAAGTTAACGCTAAAATCTACATAGTGGGGCCTGCACCTAACGTAAACATTTATTTTGGAAGCCTAGTATAAGAAAGATGAGGTGAAATACAGCTGGAAACTGGAGGCTCCTGCAGACTAATGGCACTATCAGTGATAAAGGGGGAGGAATGTGAGGGTCTCGTAAGGATCGATCGATAAAAGTACAGGGTGGTTATCTTGTGAACAGTGACCAGGCGTAATACTTACCTATAGACCAGAAACGGAGGGCCAAAATTTTATTTTTGATTCCAAAATTTAGTCAGAAGAGGTTTACAATGGCCTTAGTACTTACATAATGTAAGTAATTGGAAAAAGTTCACTAAGCTGAGAAAGCAAGAGAGACTTTTTTAATTTTTTTTTGCTCTCTTTACCTCTCTCTCTCACACTCACGCACTTTCTCTTTTTCTAATACTGTCTTTGTTACGTTCCAGATTTATTTATCACAGCACACAGTAACGTACGTCTTATTTTGTACCTCGATATACTTACGTGATCAAGCTCGAATGTGACTGTCTATTGAACCGTGAGGCTATACGTTTTAATGTGCATTGTAGGTAATCTGTCAGTCAATCTCGAAAGCAATTAACATTTATCGAAGACGGATACCGGAGCCCTTTATGTGACCGTATCGGTATTCATCAATACGAAATGCAAGTACAGTGCAGTCAAGCTTTATCATATTATTATTCACTTCACGTTATATGTCATCTGTTTATATATATGCAGTTGTTTCAGTAATAAGAGGCGTGGAACTACTGGTATTCATTCGCTAGGAAAAAGGGAAAAAGTTACCGAGGCAAGAGGTCGGAGGGAGGCTAGTTGCTTCGAAAAATGAGCAATGAAAGTGAGCGTTGGTAAATATACCAGCCGTTTTTATCTTGTTAGGGATGCAAGGAGAATAGAAATTAATTATATTAGAAGTACAGTCTCAAGTATTTCTTAAGCTCTGAGTTAGAAGTTGGATGCAAAAGTTACTTGAAAAAAAAACGTTCTTGCTCTGTCATTATTTCATAGTGCTATGAAAAAACGATTCTCACTAAACATTTATTTATAAACCTTAGGGCTTTTTTTCTTTCTTCTTCTACATCCCGTATAAGATGCACATGATTTCAATATGTGTATGAGGACTAGTATGAAACTATACTTAGACAATTTATGCTACTTTACACTACTTAAATAAATAGAAGTCTGATGACTGCTTTAAATTATATAAAAAAAGAAATAACAAACTAGCATTTATGAATGGTATTTAATGGCGTATAAATGTAGTGGTACAAAAAAGTTGCTTTAATCTACGATTGGATCTCGATTCAACTTCCCAAATAAAACGTTAAAAATAAAACTGGTAAAGAAAATGTATAGAAATAAATTTTTCAACTTGTTACATTTGCCACAAAAAGTTGTGCATAATTCTGGACCTTCAGAAGGTCTGCATTGTGATATATTGTGACTATTAATTAAAACAAGTAAAAAAAATTATTTTTTTATGAACCGATTCAGAAAAATAATAAAGTATTATCGAATCAAAATTTATTAAACAAGTAGCTGTTAAAAATGCATATTAAAATATTATTGCTATTCACTGAGTGCAGTAATCTGAAACAGCGCCACTTCCACGGGAAGAAGGAGGCGATGCTGGATAATACGATTACATTGGCTCTGTTCGGAAATGATATGATAAAGTTTTTGGTTGGTACCTACCTCCACCCCGACTTAACTAACTGCCCGTTTGTGTGCACATGACATGTAAACAAAACCTGATCAGCTGATTAACTTTTGTTTACATGTGTGAATAACACACGGTCCGTTAGTTAAGTCAGGGTGGTGGTAGGTACCAACAAAAAACTTAACCAACGTATCATTTCCGAATAGAGTCATAGCCTATTATGGGCTACACACTTTGTTGATTTTTTTTTTGTAGTTTTAACACATTTTTGATACTTAAAGTCAGGATTGTTAGTATTAAGAGTTTGTATTAGGCAGAAAATCGTTTTTGATACATTGTTTATTTATTTATTTTTTTTAACTGTAAAGTAATGGTTGTTACCTGTTTAAAACAAATTTTTGACACTGAAAACTGATACTTCAAATATCGAAAATGCATTACAAATACAAAAAAAAAAAAAAACTTTTAAGCCCATAACAGGCTACGTAATCGTGTTACCCAGCATCACCTGCTTCTTTCCGTGCAGAAGGAGCTGTTTTAGATTCGGTACTGCACATAGCGAATTTCATATGTACTATGAAAAGTAGAAAAATGTTTTCATTCATTGTGTTTATTTGATCCAGAAAGATGATAAATTCTAATTTTTTTAAATATCTTTCAATGTATAGTTCTTACAAATTCTATTTTATTGCAAAACAATACGACAAATTTTAAGCAGAAATTATCAAAAATCTAATTGCCAGTCGTCATATTTGTATTTTTTTATTCAGATTGATTCGGTAAATAAAGCTTATTTTAATATTTTGGTGTAATGTCAAAATTCATTTGTTACATTAATACATGTTTTTAAAAATACTTAAGTATAATAACCATAGTCCTTCAGGGCATTTGTTATTTGTATCATAGTTTACACATTTGTGCAACTTTCAGAGATTAGTCGTTTAAAAGTTTCAGCTGTAGGGGAAGGGAGGCCACGTTGAGCAGGGCTCCAAAGTGTGGCACTTTAATAGTATTAATATTCATGCGTTTTAAAAATAAGATTTTTATAGAAATTAAAAAAAAAGGCTCTTACTATTATCCTCTGAGTTTTTAATGTCATATAATAATGTTTTCTATTTATTTTATAATTTTTAAATGTAGTGTACTGAAAAAAGGTCTTCTTTATTTCTCAATATCTTGAAGCAGGTCAAAACTTCGAAAGTGTTCTATTTTGTAAACAAAAAAAGGTCAATTTGATAGCTTAGGTCCTTAACTTTCTTGTCTAACGATTTTTTTTATTCTAAAGTTTAAATAAGAACCGTAATAAACAATATAAAATTGTATTAGAATTGGGCAAGCGTGGCACCTCGGGTAGGGCAGGCGTAGCACGGTGAACAGCCATATTGCTCGTAAGTCAGCTGCGTGGATCGTCTGCTGATTTTATACCTAACCTCATCCGTATGTAAACAATAAAAGATGCTTTGAGTGCCGACTAGCAATGTTTAGTGATTTATGTAGTTGATGACACTTGGTTAATTGTATATCAAGTGTGTCTATAAAAATTATAATATGTTGATACATGACAGTTTAATAATATATACATTCATCATCGCCCGTAGGCTCAGAAATGCTTTTTTTACACAAGAATGGTGTTTTTCAGCCATCGGTGCACCTGAGTTACAACTAGATGTTTATATACGTATATAAACATCTGGACCAACACAGTCACATCTATGATCACGTAGAAGAAGCGTCAGAAAAACAGTTAATCGTCCCTCGAGAATCAAGAGCACAGGTGAAACGGTGATACTTGAATGGTCACCAGATGGTCACCCATGCAAGTACTAACCGCGCCAAATGCAGCTTAACCTCGGAGATCGACGGAACCGCTACTCTACCGTTGCGCCACCACGACCACTTATATATATATA